TTAGTTGGATTATACTAGCTATGATCCCACTAAAATAATATCACACTTTAGTTTTCTGTTAATACATCTTTCTACTATAGGATGACCATGTTTGATTTCAACGTAACCTGGTATAAAAATGTTTGATGACATACGACTTAAACAGTTATAAAACGATAGTTTTTCAAATTTTCACCGTACTAGTACATTAGTTCAAATATTTCGTCCAACGGTATCGTTGACATGGTGAAATATTGAACTGAGTGCATAGACTAAATTTGATATAAACGACAAAATTGTGGCAACAGAAGTTCAACATGTACATGGTTGGAATATAGTATTTTAGAAGAGCGTTACTACATTCTGTGATTTGGCTCTTTTCTCGATAATTCCATCTTGATTTGCCGTGGTGTAGCAACCTTAACTGACCTACATATATACCGGGTTTAATGCTGCGTATTACTGACTAATTCATTCAGCTAACCTCATAAGTTTGAGAAACCCTGCTATAATTACTATTCCACGTTCTGCAGCTTAATCTTCATATACTAAAATCATGGTTTACAGGCCTCCTTTGATTTATCACCGGAAGCCTATACAAGTACTTAAATAAAGTGCTTCCGTAATATATAGTTGTAATGGATATGTCAATATTTAATAATTATTTTTACTTTGGTTGATGTTTTCAAGCTTTTAACATTGATTAATGTCAAATGTTTTCTAGTATTAGATGTTTTTGAAAATTCAGAATACCAAAGATTAACAAAATTGACATGACGAATGGTTTAAAATATTATTATTCTATGATAACACGTCACTATGATAATGAGACTAGTCACGTCATATCAGAACTAGGATTCACGACCCAAAATAGAGAACCAAAGTACATGCTAAGGAATATAATATTCAGCACAATTACAAGCAAGCACTCACGGTGCGACCGGAGTAGAAATCGATGACAGGAATAAAAATAACATATTTAGTATTCAGTAGGCAAGGCACCTGTTTGTCCACGCTCAGCACTTAATGGCATTTTGCTTTCACCACCACATACCAGAATCCATAATGATAGATGCGTAATTAATAAGAACTAAAATATATTAAAAATAAGTGACCGGTTTCAGAATCTCTCGTGATTACATTTTTACGATTTATAAGTAAATACACGTTTGTGTGTCCTACCTCTTTAAAGCTTTCATGATACATAAGTATGTTAAAAAAATCCCGATGATGCAAAACATAGTTTATTGTAAAAACCATTGTATGACAAGGATTACTAGATTGAGGAACACAATTTTTAATTTTCTAACAGTTTTCACACTCTCCAAACCGGTTTTTTCTAATAAAATAACTCAGATCACTCCTGAGACATATTGTCGTCAGTACTTTTCACGCATAAAATATCATTAAATTACCGAAAATCCTTAACTTAATAATTGAACTCCACGTTCTTATCAATCTATCGTGCTTTGCATAATGAATTGTCTTTCTGAGGTTCTTACTAGGTTGAACTTTATAGAAATATCTTGAACAGGATTTCTACATACCACTTCACTCTTGTCACATCCGCATGTTGAAATTTGCTAGATTTCATATTTATAAACTCCAGATTTGTCTCAAGGAAAATGTGGTCACTAATGATGTAACCTTTATAATAACACTGCAGAATCATCTAACGTACACGTAACTTGTAATCTTTGAATGATTTTCTGTTAGTAGTTTATTAAGTAACCTAATTATTCACTATGATAAATGAACGATTGATAGTTTAGAATATATAGATATATGTAGTAGTAACAACAGAAGTGAAAGAATAGTTAAGCATGTGAAGGACAACTGAAAGATATTCAAATGAAGTATTTAATGTATGGTTTTCATATTTTACCAAGCCACTATGTAGTCTTTCATGAAATAGTAAATTAGTTTGCCTCACCAGAGTTTTCATTTGCTACAGTAGGAATTATTTTGGTCCCTTGGGCTGTACATTTAGATGATAGCTATTTGTATTACTAAACATATTTTGAAATCAATTCATATATCTAGCTAACATATGTATTTAGCAAAAACATGCACAAGAAAAGATTAATACTACTTAGTCTACTTATTTTGGAGGAACTATTAAGTATTTCTTAGTAAACTATATACCTAATTTAATTATTCCTCTTAAGATACATGATTTTAAAAAAAACATAACTTCAATAACTCGATTATATTTAAAACGATGTTTTGTTTTTTCATTTTCGCTAAGATGAGAATTTGAAAACAATATTCTTCATTTTATAAGAGATAAAAGATATTTATCAATAAAAGAGCAAAACACTAACAAAATATCTACTGCAAAATGCTTTTTAGTTAGACCGTCAGTTAAATTTTGAAATAATTTTCTACCACAATTGTAATATCGTTCATAGATTATTTATCAACTTGATGTTGATTATTCCAATACAATTTTGATTTCTGTGGTGTGACAAAACATTAATAAGATAATAAACATTTTGCTTTTTGTTTTGGTAAGAGAATCATGAACTAACTTTTGTTTTGTGATTGTCTCTAATAATGTGGTCTAGTGAATAAATTTCTAAAGTGATGTATACTAAGTACACCTCACTGACTATTGACCAATTGTTTGTACTCAAGAGCAGTGTTGTTCAGTACCGAATTCACATTTTGAAACTACTTAACGTAAATTATATCAAGGAACAACTCAAGAATACAATATAACAGGTAGTAAAGTGGATATAGACAAATTGATTTTTGTGGTTATAATCTTGTTATTGACTTTGACATAGTTCTTAATCACTGGACACCTGATCTCTAGCGATTATCAATTTCACAAATCCGATTACCAATATGTTTCCATTAATTTTGGTTGATAAATTATACAGTTGGCTAAAATAAAGTTAATCGCCGAAATATTCCCATCATATTAAAATACGGATAACTGTGTTTTTCAAAATCATGTTCTTAACTTCGTAGATATCTAAGAAGACTCCTAAGATTCCATCCCGTACAAATTTTATACCATATTTTAACTAAAAATATTGTGAAATACTAAAAGTTTCGTTTGATGCATTCATCACAATTACATTCGATCACAACAAATCTAACCTCACATTTACTGTGATCTGATCATTATTTGATATTCAAGTATTTATAATTTACATTTTGTGGGATATTACTAACTACATTAGACAACAAACCTTGGCTTACCTGAGCGAAATCCGACCCATATATTGACGTTGTGTGAGAAATAGGGAAAGTGTGTCCTATAAATGAATATAAGCGGTCGATGGATATTGGCTTCATCTACTACTTAAACATAGTTTCGTAATAATTGGTTTTCTGCTCGTTCCAGATACACCAACTCATCTATGTCTATTTGTATACTATGGAATAAATGAACTGGTTAGATCTGTCTACTCCATGTATGCATGCAATATGTATTTGTGTGATGTGTGCCTCTTATGTGAAAAGATATAAGTAATATGTAGCAAGAACAGGAAGTAGAATGCTTACCAATAAAAGGTTCAAATAGAGAGAAGAGGAAAAACGGAAAGCAATTGGAGTAACAACGAGATTGAAAGAATTATAGGACAACTCAAAGAAGATGTTCAGATTATGTATTTGATGTATAATTTTCATATTTTACAAAAGCACAAGCAGAACAACATGTATAAAAATATGGGATCAGAGAACATATTATCTCACCAAATACTAATATCTACACCTATATGTATACCACAGATTGCATTGATCCTGGAAGAGTGTATTTCAAATACATATGTATAATGTGAAGAGCTGGGAGTTCATCTTGCCTCTCATTAACGGCAGACTTAAGATAGGGGAGTGGAAGCTACCTTTTCTTCCCAATCATGAAATTTATGTTCTCTTATTTGGGAGACAATACATAGGTTGGTTCGACTTGTATATTTTAGGTTTGCATGAAATATCTACTTACTAAAACAAAGAGCTAGGTAACACCTTACCTACTCAGAAGTAGTGAATCATGATAATTTATCCCTCGGGTTTTATCGGTGCACCGATTTTTCATTAAAAGCATTTATTCTATCACAGATATGTGCGTATCATAAGTATCTAAAATCTTATTCAGAAGAACCAATCGACTATTCCAAAAGACTATCAATATTTATAGCTGGACCGGGCTCTAGGGGATATCTTGGCTTAGGAATTTAATTATCACTTTTTTATTAAAACTATAGCGATATTCATGTATCTTGAGCATGGTTATTATCTAAAAACAAAGAATATGTATAAATTCCTGATATGTACAGTTTGTTCAAAATACATTAATATGAGCTGTGAATTATGTTGTCATAATAGTACAGTGTTTTATATTTAGAATTGATTTCACAGTGCATTTATGGGAAGATATAAAAACAATACGTTTTCACCAAATATATAAGTAGCAGGTAATATATAAAAGATTAAACAACTTTCAGCCCAGTCAAACTTAATCTCCAAATAAAACTTTCAAAACGCTTAGAGTTTATGTAGTGCTTTAATGCATACTGAGAAATGTAGTTACACTAATGATCTATTGTAGTTTAACCCATTGATGAGTTAATATTTAGCAGTTTAGACATGAAACGACTGTATATTTACTCATTTTTATTGGATAATCATCTCTCTTCATTTGATTTATTGAGATAAACTGGAATCGAGGTAAAGATTTCGGTAAATTTATAATCGATAAAGGCAAATATATTAATTCACTCAAGCTTATCCAATTTGTTGGTTACGTTTGCACTCCATTATGAAAATAAATCACTTGTTACTCATTTAAGATGTTTTTCTATTTTCAGGACTATTTTTTGGGCGATTATTTTATTTTCCTAACATTGGAAAGTTCACCAATTATATCGTTAGACAAGTGAATTGCACCTGTCACGTTATTTCGTATACAAGGTGATTGTCAGGTAATTGTGAATTCAGTGCATAACTTAGTATTCATAGCAAAAGTTTACATTTATTCATTAATTCGAAGAACGATTGGTTCACGAATGAGTAAGTTTTAGTGTAAATATATTTAATTTGATTGAATACATTGTGTAATATTTGATTTTCTTTACGGTGATTAGAAAATTGTTTTGAAATTATCTATAGAAATTTCGTAACCACAGTAAAACTAACTTACCAAAATGGAATTTAGTTTTAATTTACTCATGGATACACCATTTGGAATATCAATGGGATAGTTTTTAGTAATCGTGTTTACTTGCATATCAGTTATACTGAAACCCTCGTGAATCTTTTTTCTTATAGGCAATTTATCAGTCAATTAGATGATGTACCCTGTATACCATATATTATAGATTATTATATTAAAGGTTTATTTTGTGATTTGTTTTTGGATATCTCGTAGTAATGGTTAAAAGATCGCTTCATAATGTAATTTTTGTAAGTCAATATTATTTGATTGAGGATGATTGATAAACCTGATAAAAAGACTAATTCTTTTACTGCTATCTCTCAATAAAGACTATTTAGAGTACGACAAGAAAGATGTCTGCCAGTTAAGAATGAAATATTCACTAGAATTGTGCATTGTCACTCTAGAAGCTTTACTTAAAAATTTTTTTTCAAATATTTCATATTGAAAATTCTACGAGTTTAGTATCCAATAAACTGGTAATCTATCCCAAGAAAAATATCATAAATTACAACATAGTCTTATGTTTCCTACGTAAGCACTTCCTTAATTTTCTTTAGAATTCCAATGCGTCACCTTTGAAAAGTAGATCATCTCAGTAAATAAATAAAAAATACTGATAAGTTGAGTTTTTAGACTGGATTAAAACACACATTTTAGTGACACAGTATAAATAGCTTGTCATTTGTAAACCCTTCTACTCTTATAGAAACTTAAAGTAATCAAATGTAGTTGTCAACCATTAGTGAATATTTGATTATCATTAATTCTTATTTCTTTTTAATAGTTAGATAAATATTATTTGCTTCTAGTATAAACCTTCCATAGAATACATCTAAGATTAAGATTTCAGAAATACACCACGAACCATGCGAACATTTTTTTTATACAAGGACAATTTCACATGTATTATATCACAGGTTGGTTATGTATACTTTACTTGAACCATAGAAGTTATAAAACATGAAATCTTATGCATAACGTTCACCAGTAATCATTAAAGATTTTACTATTATTCAATATACAATGCTTTGGCTAAAGGTAAATTAGAACTCATTATCAAAACACAAACTGTTGTTAAAAAATAGGTATCCTATTTGTTTGATAAGAATATTTCCTCTCCAAAATACGTAGCATGATCTGTTTTGAAAATATTTTATTATACAGTCGTAGCAGCTCTTAATTAGTAAATTATGACCTGAACGAAGGTATGTAACTTTTCGTGAGACCTGTAAACTACTTTTCTGACAAAATTCTGAGCTGACGTATGAAGTTATCTTGGTAAATGTTCAAAAGTTTACTTCAGTTTGTCACAGAAATATATTTGTCTGAAAAGCACAAATAAATCATTTAAGATAGATATCCATCTTAAAATCGCATTCTGCAGCATTCCTAATCAATAATTGCAGAATTTCAAATACTCTATTATGTATGAAGCATACTTTGGTATGTAAATTTTGAGTACTATGTGAACAGATATTTACAGCGATTTTCGATTTCGACTTGAAAATTCAACATGTCACGGTTTATCTCGAATTACATTATCTTTACAAGTCAGAAATCAGAATTCATTAAAACAATCTAATAGTTAATATGTCAAAAACACAAATAATAGGATGATCACATTAAAAGCTTCTTAAATTATAATATCTACTCCTTCAAATGAATATTTCGAGTTGCCTACTTTTAATAATCAAATCTTCCCGTTTGCCATGTCCTTTTTTCAAACTGATTGTCATGGACTAAAATTAATGAAATTCTGGTTAAAATGAAAGTTTATTCATGACGCTGTTTTGAAAAGCGTAACCTGAATATATAGAAGTACTTCACTATAGATACCCTTAGCTAATCGATATGGTAAATCTAGAGGATGATAACTGGAAAAAAATCATAAATCTGATCAAAAAGATAGGTAAATAAAAGAATTATAGATAAAGTTAGCCACAAGTTATGAAACGTTTTTCAAATCCATTAGTTTAAATTTGCCAAATACAAGCTCAATGCTACACTTTAAAAAGATAGCGGCTTCAACAAGTACCTTTTTATTTTCTTATATGATGAAAGATATTATCAAGTATAAACTGATAATAAAAACATTTTGCGCGCATGTAATCGCCAACTAATATCTCTTTAATAAACTAAAATATTAATTTTATTCAAGACGAGTTTTTCTTTCATTGTGAGTTGGTTGATGAGAAACGTCAAGGTTGAAAACAACAGGCACAGTTGAAATAAAGGAAGAAACCGATTGTATCTATGAGGAAGAATAAATAGAACTCAGTGAAAAGAATTTTATCAGGATGGAAATTTGTGGAGATTGTAGTAATTTTAGTAGTTGAATTCGTTAGTCGATCTAAGCTAGGCCACTTTTGAAAGCCTGGAAACACTGGACGGCCGATTCTTCCTGATATTGGTTTTGGATGCGCACTGTCACATACTAGAGTGAATGCTTGCAAGTTTTGAATGGTGGTATAGCTTGGATTGACTCGTGAATTCAAATGTTAAAATACTACAATCTCTACAAAACCCCATACTGGCAATAATCATGTGCTCACTAGTGACTAGCTTCAAGATGGATTTCCTGGAGTTTTAGTAAGACGCGATGACCAGGGGAGTCCAATCCATGTCAGTTAGTAGAAAGTTATCCACCTCAAACAATGGGTGATTGGTTGCGCAAGACCATGGATCCATAGAATTTAGGCATTAACAGCGTTGGATGCCTGCTCAATGGTTATGAGGTTAGGCGTTCGCGCGGGAGGCCAAAGGTTATGGGTTTGAATTTCGCTTGCAGGATCGTGAATGAGCACTGCTGAGAAGTCCCATACTAGGATGAAACAACCGTCCAGTACTTCGAAGTTTTCAGTGGTGGTCTAGCTTTGATCGACTCATGAATTCAACAATAAAACTATTAGTATTCAAAATACTACTGCTTAATGTTTATACGAACTAGCTTATAGGTCAAATGAAATTTAATAAGATTAATAATCAGAAAAATTGTGTTTATAGAGAAAGTTATCAATAGACTTTTTTACTGACGATTTGTTGAAGTTCCTCTTATAAAAGCCTAGAAATGCAAGGAATGAGTAGTTTTTCATTGATAAAAACAGAACTAAAAAAATATAAATAATAAAACTAATTCTGTCTTTGGGAAAATTAGACCTATGCCTAAATGACTAGAACATTTGAAGTTTTTATTATCCATACTCACTCTCAAAAAGCCGATCATTTGCTAAGATCTATCCAGATTTCAGTAATATCAATATTAGTCATCAACCACAAAAGCTGTGACTCAAAAATATGTACACAAAACTGTAATTAGCTAATAAGTTACCGTGTGAAAAATGTTTACTTATTTTAAGCATTTCTTCAAATTATATAAAACAAACAATAATGATGATTTTGAATGACACTTATCTAATATTAATTACTGAAAAATAACATCAAACTAATTATAGTAATAGAAAAAGCACTTTTTGGATTTTATCCTTCAAAAAATTGGCAATGTTAACTAAAGAAAACAGTGAATATAATTCATTTTAAGGATGAACCTTATTAGTCACAGTGGACGGAAATGTTGCTAATTAACTATTATGTCTATAATTAATTAAATAAGTTGTTTGTGACTTAAACCTATTTTTGCACGAATTCTAGAAAAGGAATAATTATATTAACAGTAAAATGGTAGCTTTCTATCTCTATGTTCAGTGAAATCAAATTATAGTTCTCATCAAAGAATTATTTTTTGCAAAACTACACTTCAATATAAATATTAATTTTGTTTTCTCTAGCATAATCTGGAAAATTATTGATGTTTCGTGTTGTCGATGTAGTTTATTTTAATTAGTTTCTATCTCTATGTTGTCAACTTTGATCTGTACAAAATATATATCTTGTTAAGGATGATGTATGTATTTTTTATTTAAACGAAAATTTTGTCTCAATTCCACTGGAATAACTAAAAGGATATTTCTCAAAGCAGATGGCTCAAAATTGTCAGACAGTCGAGAACGATTATTGGTAACTCCAGTTAAATATGTTAGCCAAACGTTGGAATCTGCTTTCAATTAATTACATAAATCTTTTATTACTTCATTTTTTCAGTCAAATCGAAGTTAATATTTTTAGATTTCTTTATAGAAAATGGGGATTTGCCAACTTAACACAAATAGAATTACGGAATACTTTCAAGCTTTCTTTAGATTTTAAGACGTACAAACATGATAAGATTTCCTTTCATTACTGTTGATACATATACTTGGTAAAATATAACGCCATAGTAAACCAGCTGTTAGTCAACATAAATCTTTAAGAAAATAATAAGGAAAAAGACTTGTATCCACTTAAAAAAATCATTATAACCCAATATTCGGTTATTGTTTTATTGATTAACTAATCGTTAGAACTACAATATTACGGTTTAGGTTATTTTACTTATGTATAACCTGTCCTAGAAATGGAACGAAATAAATGCGGTGAGAATTAGCGTCATTAGCAATAATGCATTACATATTTCTGAAATCATCAGAGTCGAACCAACAGTTCAAAACTTATCAGTATGGAGTCGTTGAGATTGTTGAGTTCTAATGGAGATAATGAACCGACTAATTTCAGAACCCCACTGAAAACCTGGAGGTACATGAATGCCGTTTTGTCATAGTACGGAACTACTCAGTAGTGCGCATCCGCGAAGCTGGCTCAGTTTCTAGAGATCAATTCGTCGCACGCGAGATCGAAGATTCTTGATTCGAGTCCCGTATGCGGGATCGTGGATGGGCACTGCTGAAGAGTCCCATGCTGGGACGGAATAACCGTCCAGTACTTCCAGGTTTTTAATGAATGTCAGATCGTTTCATGA